AAGTTATAGAAACAGGACGCATTTACGGCAGGCTTTTGACAAACCAAACTGATAAACACAAAAATTCATATTGTTTTTATTTTGGTACATAGTCTTTTGCAAGATGCTAACTTTGTATTAAGAATTTCGAGTATAAAATATGCAAGTGTTTTTATTCAAAGACTTTTGTTGAGTTTTGTTTGCACTTTACATATATTTATGAGGTTGCTATTTCATATCCCACACAACATCAAAAATAAGAAGTCAGAAAGACTATGCTGAACTGAAGAAGAAATGAGGGTCTACTTATCTGTGATACTATTTGTTGTTGCCGTGATAAAACAAAGTTTCAGTGAAATATAAGAGTTTTGACATAGGAAAGTTTTCTTATGGATAGAAGGAGCAATATACTGAAAGTCTTTGGAGCAAGAAGGTTTAATACGTAAAATCTGTGGAAAAAAATTGACAATTTAATTCACATGTAGATGACACCTGGAATTGTTGTGTCGAGGTTCTGAACAATGGAAACTGACCCAGACTTAGAGGGCAATGATGATTGACATGTGTTCTATGCAGCTGAAAATGCAAGGTGTAAAGCAGAAGCTTCAGTTTCGTAAACAACGAATTTGGAGTTGATTTCTCCCCAGCAAAAGTTGAGTTGAAGTACCGGGAGGGGGTGGATGAACCACCCACATTCACTGAGCAGGTTTAGTTAGAGATAATAAGGGTGGAAAAAAGGAATTCCCCAGAATTATGAAGTAAGCTGATAACAAAGGGGATTTACTGAAATCCCCCCCCCTAGGTGCAGTGCCTCATGCCAGTTTGAGTGAATGTCAATAAATACAAATGCATGAAGCAAATTCATCAGACAAGAGAGACAGAGACAGCAGAGAGTTTGACCCAGCTACCGGTCATGATATTATTCTGGAGTGCATTCAGAAAAACTCAAAGGTAATACCTATTTTTAAGAAGTCCATTATCAACCCATCTCACTTCATTCCATATTATCTTTGAAAAGGTTGTATTCAATATGTAAAAGGAAACTTGTCTAGGAGGTATAGTGGAGTAATAGATTGAAGAATTGGAGAGCTTAGTTCAAATTCCATTTGAATCCATTACATTCACTTACACACTAATACTCTTGGGAAAGGTATGAATCCTATTCTTCTCCTGCGAGCTATCGATAAATAGCAGGACAGACTGGGCCCTATAGCCTTGGATGACAACCTACTGTGGGGAAAAAATATGCCCTGTCAGTCAGTCAGATACATGATCGCTTAAGTGAGCATCTCACATGGTACCTAACTGAAAGTGTTCAAGAGTAAAAAATTCACTCTTACAAATGACTTGTGCTTGGCAAACATACGTGTCATTGATATGAAAACCCCACCACTCTACTACAATCCACCATCTATATTGATAGATAGTTACCGTAAATTGTGGCACAAGTCCAAAAGTATGGGGCACCCAGTGAGGATTGAACTTAGTAGTAAATGTTCTAGTGAGACAAGCTTGCTAACCATTATACCGCCTCGAGGTGCCCTAAGAGTTAACTTATATGGCTGTTATAAAATGCAAATCTTTACACTGAGTTGTAAACAAGTGAGACAGCACTCCTCACAATTACTGTACATCACTTAAAGGCTGCCACAAATATATAATATATAATATATCCCACTAAAACTTGTGCTTGGCAAACATACTTGTCATTGATATGGGAACCCCACCACTCTACTACATCTCAATTTTCATAAGATAATATTCATATAGAATACAAATATTTTTGTAACCTAATTATGTACACTAATGAATCATATGCAATATAGGTGAACAATTCAACTATAAAAATTGAAAATAAATGCAATGTATCTAAATACAAATTAGAAACATGTCATAATAGATCGTTCCATCTTAAATAAAACAATGTTGAAGCAATTTTTATCATTATGGAGTTACCCCACTTACTTTCCTAAAGAAAACACTGCTAGGGGTCACTCCCTAAGCCTATGAATAGGTAGTGACATTCTCTGTCATCCTTTTTCCTTTTTCACCCAGGGACTGTAAGATGTAGGTCAAATGAGAAAAGGGCTTTCCCACTGGGGAATGCACATACATGTAAACACCTTTGATTTCATTTTCTCTAGGAATTTCTCCTACACCAAACTACACACACAAACAATTCACTAGTTTAAATGTTCTCATTCATATGCATTGTTTTGTAACATTCAACAATTTCTTATTGTACATGTATATCTTTGTTTTGTTAATACATACATCATTGTGTGCGTATATATATATATATATATATATATATATATATATATATGTGCGTATATATATATATATATATACACACAATGATGTATGTATAACAAATAGATATACATGTATATATATATATATATATATATATATATATATATATATATATATATATATATATATTAGTTTTATTGTTGCTTTTCATTTTAATACCCGAATTCTCACTCCAAGTCTGCCATTTTTGTCGTGGGATAAATATACCAGGAGACACATATTTTCCACCTTAACACATGTACAGCTCACCTACAACATCAATTTGAGATTTTTCTTGTTAAAAAGCTGAATAATCTTAACACACTATGGATATGTAGTGAATTTTAGATAGTACTCTTATATAGAATTTTAGATTGTACTTTTTGCAACATATCATGTGAAAATGCATTCACAACTTTATCACAGTCAAGGGATTGAGCACCTTCATTTTCAAAGGAAATTATTGCTAACATGGATAACATTTCATCTCTCATTGTAGATCATAGATAATTTTTTTTATAAGTTTTCCTTTGAAACTTTTTTCACCACTTGCAACAGTCACTGGTGAAGGAAGCAATACAGGCAAGGAAATGCACACGTTCAGGTAAGTAGCAAGGAAATGATTCCAAAAATTATAATTTTAAACATCATGGGCAGTTTTGAGCCCAAAATGGCAGATTTTGTGAATTTCCAGTTTAATGCTGATTGTTATACAATTTGATGAGTAGAATCACATGGTGTCAATTGAAATAAATTTTGAGCAATATTAATAACAATAATACTGATTTTTTTTTTTTTTTTTATAATTTGATGAGTGGAATCACATCATGTAAAAAAAAAATTAATTTTTAAACTCTAAATGCACAAAATGCTTGCTTCCTGTAATCATTATTATTGTTATTAATATTGCTCAAAATTAATTTTAATTGATACCATTTGATTCTACTAATCAAATCACCATAAAACTGGAATTACATAAAATGGACACATTCTCCGAACTTTAGACTCCAAATATTGTTATTGCTCAAAATTTTAATGCAAACATTCTGCCATCTTTAGGCACTGATTGTTATTAATATTGCTGAATATTAATTTAAATTGACACCATGTGATTCTACTTGTCAAATTACATAAGAATCAGCATAAAACTGGAAATGCACGTACCAGTATTAATGGTCAGTGAATCATCACTAATGATCAATGTCTTTTTTTTGTCAACCACGACGTTTTACTGGAAATTATCTACTCAAAAATCTTTTCTAATCTACAGATTTTCTGTGGACTAACTACCCCAAAACTTTAGCTCGGCTAAAGGTTATTTTTACTCCTATTTTGACTCTTGAATTCATGTACATACATTTGTAAATCCAAATGATATATTTAACAGACCTATGCATGTTTTCTTTATTTTATTATTGTTTGGAATTTGGACATGTGGATTTTTAATATAAAAATTTGTGAATGACAATATCCTACAAGTGTAGTCAAAGGCAGTAATTAAGAATTATTTCCTCTAATAGCATGGATGGTCAGTAAATTTTTGCTGATGAGAAAGTTTTTTTTTTCCAACCACAACTTAAGATATATAAAATAATGTAACAGTTGCTAAAATGAAAAAGAAATTTTTTTTTTTTTTTTTTTTTTTTTTTTTTTTTTTTTAGAATGTTCACACTTGAAAATAGTATTAAACATATTTCTTGATTCTTCAAATATGTCTGTTTAATAAAAAAAGAAAAATAAACTCTTCTTCCAAACAACAATGGGTTAAATTTCAAATTCACAATGAAAAATTACATGTATTTTTTAAGTGTAGATTTTTTCTGTCAAACCAGAAAAAAAATGATGTTTTTATTAAATTATGCAAGCACCATCTGTCAAAAAGATGTATCTATTATTATTATTATTATTATTATTTTTGAGTTTTATTCACTTATTTTTGATAAGGTTCAGGCAAATTTTCTCTGTTCACCCTTCATATTGCATAATTATTTTACTGAAATATCATTTTCAGAATTTTGCACCCAGCCCCCCTAAAAACAAACAATACTAGTTGATTCTACGTCTTGCTGTTTTTCATTTTAAAGAGTATTTTTGTACATATAAATGTTAGGGGAGGGTTAAAATTATTTTGATTTACACAGTTAGAAACTATATTTTTTTTTAAATAAAATATATTCAAATAAACAGTTTTTCAAAATACTACCTATTTTAAATGAAAATATTATTTACTTTATCTATGTATTTTTTTTCCCTATCCACAAGTCACAATTAGGATTTTTCTTATTTTCTATAACTTTTCAGAACTTTAACTGAAATTTCAAATGAATTCAACACCACCGAGGTATCCGCAATTACGTAGAGTCAAAACATGCTTATCTCCCTTGAACTTTCTTATTTCACGAGGCACTAGCCAACCGGTTACAAACATACTTACTTATCTCGTATCTTTATTTGAAAAGAAACTGAGCGATCAGGAAACGAATCAACGTTTGTGAGCGACAGAGACAGAAGTAAGCCTGTGTGAGTGAACGCATGTACAAGGAAGAGACTGGTTTTTGCTTAAAGTTACTTAAAGAATAACCGTAACAGAAAATAGTACTTTTTCTTCTTTTTTGCCCAGTCTTCAAGTAAACTTTATTACTTTTACAATGGATTCTCCACTTCGAAAGACCTTCAGTCACCAGCCTTTTGCTTTGCCCCCTGTCTTGCTTTATGCTCATCCATCCATGGAAAGTCTAGCGATGGAAATCGCTGACAGATGTACCCTCTCCCAGAATTTGTTGTCTTCGTCAACAGCGAAGACTGAAGGGAACGAGGCCTCTGATGTGGATCCGACCCATTCACAAGTACGTTTTTTTAAGTTTTTGCCCTTCAACTTTTTCCTTTTCCAGAACGTTTTATCTTGTCAGTTCCAAATACCCTTTTTTATGTTCAGGTTACTCAAGAAATATCTTCCTTAGAATCACTGTATTTTTCTTTTGTTTATTGTTTCATATGTGGCGGGGGGGGGCGAAGAAGTCCTACTTTCGCTTTTTTGTTTTCTCTGGTTTGATTATTCCTGGAATTAAGAAGAGAAAACAAAACTTACATTTTTCCAAAATAAATTGCTTAAGAACTTGATTTTTTTTTTTAAGTTTAACGAACTACATAAACAATTGATTACTTTTTGAGAGCCATAAGTTTTCAAAAATTTTTTTTTTATATTTTGTTTGATGACTAATTCTTTGTACTTTTTTGTGCATCGTCTTCGGAGTGTTCATTTTTGTCAATTTTTTTTCTAAGTTAAAAAATATTGTTTTGCTTTTCGAAAAATTTTCCTCATAAAACAAAAAAAAAAATCTTACCCGAAATAAAAAAAAAAAAAAATTCAAACAGGAAACTAAACTAGAAAACTTAGGATTTTCGTAATGTTTTCAAACATATTTTTCTTTAACATTAACTTTGTATTCATTAATTAAATTTTAGAAATTAACTTAGATAGTTCAACAGGAACTTTTGTTTTTTTTTATTCTATTTTTAATGGATTTCCGACTTCGCCACGTGTATTTTTTCGTCTTCGCTCATTTACAATACATATTTTGTGATTTCATTTTTTTTTTTTTTTTTTTTTTTGCTGGAACGAGTGACATCGACCACTTGTTAGTTAATCAATATTGGTTGATGCTTTAGTTTAAAAACTGAATTTGCAAAACTTCCGAGTTTTGAGACTCAGACGATCTTTCAATAATATATTAGGACTTTTTTAAATGCTATTAAAAAAAAAAAAAACTTTTTTTTAAGTAGCGAAAACAAGCATTAATTAAAAACACACACACACAGGCACACACACACACACACAAAATGCCTTTGGGCAATTAACATGTTACTAAGTGTTGGAGGGGGGGTCAAGGAAATGATTTTTTATTTTTTTTATACAGGTTTTTAATTTAAAATGCATTTCTAAATTCATCCACAGCAAGAAATGTGGGGGAAAATGAATTCATGAAGCCGTGTTCAAATTTTGACTGCAGCAGTTCACTTCGCACAAATAAAATGTTTTAGGAAGATATGAATCCATTCATTTATAACTTCCTCCACTTAAGGGTTAAAAATTAAATTGCAGAGTAGACTAGGCTCTCGAGTTTTGGGCAGCAGATAATTTGAGAAGGAAAAAAACTGGATTTATTAGAAACACCGGAGAAAACAACGGGAAACTACTCCACTATCTATTCATAGAAGACAGGTCGCAGACAAAAACTCATGACCACCTTTTGTTCTGAAGGGACATGGCATTAAAAAAAAAAAAAAAATGGCACCACCCTAAACTTTGAATGTGAAGTTTAACATTGTTGGAAAAAAATTGACTACTTGAAATAAAACTTTATTACTTTAAAGTACAGTGTACGTGTGTCCTTCCCTCTGTCCGTTTTTCAATCTCTACAAACCAGAAATAACACGCGATTAAAATTTAAGTAATTCATTTAATGTTAAATATATAACAGTGAAAGGTTTAAAAAAATAATTCTTTATTAAAGGCTTAACTTTAATTTTGCTTTTCGTAGCAATTTATATTGTCTAATTAAACTGTAATTAAAACTTAGCACCCATACTGTGACGTATTTGAAATATAGTTTAAGTTCCCTAATGTCTTTTAACAGTGACTTTGTGGAGAAGTGATGACAAAGAATGGCGATTTCAAAAGAAAATAAATATTGCATGCAAAATAAATATAAACAAACTACGGAGATTGGTTGTGTATATGAAGAAAGATTATGTCGAATTAAGGTAAAAAAATTTTATTACTAAATTCTTATACCTTTAAGTACATAGGACACCGAAGGTAAAAGGCTGAAGGCCCAAAAACCCTCTGCAAAAGCTAGCCTAAAGTCCACCCAAAGAGTGGCTTCTAGGCTAGTTAAAGATAAACCATTTTCGTTTCCTTTTTTACTTCCCTAAAATTCATATATGTAAAAAAAAAAAAAATCGTGCAAATTTTGCAAATTACTGTTTTCTTCGAATTTGAAGTTGGTCTGTTTCAGATTTATTGAGAACTGATTTTTCTTTTTACAAGTTGCTTGACAACAGTCTGACAGTAATTAAAATTTATCCTTTCTTTGTGTCAACACATTTTAAAACTACATTTTTCTCTGAAAATGATAATTGTTTTTCATGTGTATTTATTAATCAAATGCTCAAATCAGATGTGATAAAAAATTCTAATATTTTTATTTCTTCATATTTTCACCTAAGTGCTAAATTGTCCTTTTTTTTTTTCATTTTTTTTGTCTTATATTGTGAATATAGCTTCTTAAGTGACGTACTTTGCAGACAATATTAGAATAGCTTTCCTTTTTTTATTTTTTTTTTTTAAATAGTTTTTGATAAATTGATAAGTCATGTGATCAAACATGCTTTTAGATTTTTATTTTAAGATATCATCATTACAGAATTTAGTCCTGGGTAAACTATGTCCAGCAGTAAGGTCTCTGATCAGGAGGTTTTGAGGAGCATGGAACCACCTCTTAATTGCTGGTGTTCTCAGGTCCACCCTGACCCGGGGTGGTAGTACCTGTTAGGGTCCCAGCTATGGGAAAATAGTTACCTATTACCAGAAACAGATTTTTTGACAAAACAAAATATTACCAGCAATAAAAAATTGTTGGCATTAAATAACCCATTGAGCTTGACATGCCATTAAACAAAATAAACCAAACCATTACAGAATTAAATAAAAATCGAAAAAATTATTTTTCACACTGGACTAAAACCCCTTCATCAGAACCAGAAGATAAAATTCTTTTACTTAGTGTAGCGCACTAAAATGCATAAAGTTTATTAATTTGGGACTCATCCACTCCAGTTATTATACTCGATTTTTTTAATCTATAATAGTTTGTTGGTTTTTATTTAGTGGTATATCAGCCTCTATGGGCCGAAATCTAAATATTTTGTACTCAATTTTTTTTTTTTTTTTTTTTTTTTTTTGAGGGCGGTGGGTAATAAAGGCTTTAACTTTTAGTGATATAAGTTTTTATTTTGCTTTTGTTTTTATTTTTGTTGTTTTTTTGTTTTTTTAATCTGTGGGTCAGGAGGAGAGGTATTTGGGCAAAAGTGAATGTAATGAACCCAATTAGAACTCTGCTCTCCAATTAACAATTCCGAGACATGATCCATTACACCACCTGCACATTCACAGCACCTGGTATTCCCACGTGATCAATCTAGGCACCAACAAACAAAATATACTTTTTTTTTTTCCACAATGAAGGCAAAAAAAACGGCACCCCCTGTTTTTTTTAAATATTTGCCAAAAATTGGGGAATTATTCAAACAAAATTTTCAAGACTTGTTTGTTAATGAATGACTAATTTACTGAATAGGTTTATTAAAAAAAAAAAAATTTTGGAAAATATTTTTTGTGGTATGTTTCACCCTGCCCTCAACTGTTCAATACCGCGTTTATACTTTTTACTGGGGGTGGGGAGTCATCCAATTTTTTGTTACAGTTATATAAAAAGAAGATATTATTTCAGTAAAGCATTTATACAATATCAAATGTGAAGATATAGAAAATTCAGCCCACATCTTGCCAAAAAATTTAAAACATTCAATAAAACAGTTTTGTTTATTAGACCTGATACATCACTTAAGATCTTCCATAGTTTACCTTGACTTTCAGTTAGCCTAAAGTATATTTATGAGTGTTCTTAATTTTAAAGATTCTGTAAAATTAAAAATGTCTTTAACTCTGTGGATAAATACTGGTTTCAAAATAACATCCATACATTTCTCTTCATCTGAGTCTAAAACGCATCTGCTAAGATAAATTTTCTTGTCTTTGTTCATATGTAATGGCTGGTTTCTTATTTCTAAGAATGCCTATCTGCTAAAGTGTCTAGTCAATCCCTGTTGTAGACGCCTGCTCTGGCACATCTGTGTTCAACATCCAGAGTCCACCTGTGGTTTTATACTGCATCTGTGCTGAGCAGACCTTAGTTACAGTTTCTGGCAGAGGGTGCATGGTCTGGCACGATCAACAGTCTGAACAAGGCCAGTACACTCAAACCCTCGGTCACGATGACTTGTAACAATGTAACACAACAATCGACAGCTTCAGAACAGTCTATCCAATTTCACTCATGAGTCTTGGATTAACTTTATGGTTTTCAGGCAATTTCTAAAAGAATGCACTGGGATCACCTCCAACCCCCCACCCCCGACCAATTATATCAAGAACTCACCTTCCTGACAAATCAGTTATGGTGAGATTTGGACCCAAGTTACATAGTCAGAAAGTGAATGTTGTAACCACTCAGCGATGTGACTATATAATATCGCAATGAATTGCTGTTGCCCCCCCATTGAGTGAACGGTGTGATTCTTGGATGGTCCTTCTACAAAACTCTAGAGTTGGGATAATGAAGGTAACATCAATCAGCTAAGTGACAAACCTTTTAGTTGTATTGATATATACTCAACTCTCCCGTCAAATTCGACGTATAAGGGTCAATCAGATCAGTTCCTAGACAGCCTGACACCAGCACATGAGATTTGATTATAGTGGTGAAGGTCTTGTGCAGAACCATCCACACTTTTTGAAGGGCCATATACAGAGACTTGGTGCACTACGTGCCACAGGGTTCCCAAACAACCCTCTGCAGGTTTTGAATTCAGAGTTGTCCTTCTCCTAGACCAGTTGCCATCCAAGGCTATAGAACCCAGTCTGTCCTGCTATTTACCCATAGCTGGAGGGAGAAGAGGATTCACCCTTTTCCCAAGGGTATTAGCATGTAAGTAAATGTAATAAATAAATATATACTTAATATAGATATAGTAATCAAAAATAATAGATTCCTCAGCTACTTTC